TTTTTTACTGTAATTTTTTATTTTCTACTCTTTCTTTTAAAATGTCTTTTAATCTTAATCTGTTCGCTTCTAATGCAGAAGTTATCCCGTATTTTCGCTTATCTTCGTTAAACAGGACAAATTAAGATTGATCCTTTTAGTTTCTCAGAGGTTATTGAATGGAAAGAAATTGTAATTTAACAAAAAGAAGAGTATTTTATGCTGTATTTTTTTCATTGTTTTGTTCAGAAATTTTGAATGCATATAAACAGTGAAGTCGAACTGCTTGCATACAGTATCCTATATGTTTACAACTTCAAACAAAGAACAGCAGAAACGACAAAGGTGCTAGATTTAGTTTAGTAATGAAGCGTCATTTGTCGCTGCAGTTTTTAATCTTTTGGCTGTGTGATTTTTTCAAATTTGCTCGACAGAAACTGTAGACAACGAATACTATTTATTACCAGCTAAACCGGTACTGTTTAGTTTCCATATGAGTTTCAGCTGTTCATACTGGCGTGAAAAAAAAATATTTCTAATATCAACTTTCTTCGGCAATACTCACATACGCAACTACATTAATTTCAATTATGAGTAGAAACAGTACAGCATTTCAATTGTGATATTATGTACTGTCGAAGATAATTTAATGTGCCAAACTTAAAATAATACCTTACAAGAAAAATTATTTTTTTGCATATTTTTGCCTCAGCATAACATACCAGATTTTTTTCCTAAACTTTGCTGAAAGGAAAAGCACTGTTAGTAAATTCGAGTCAAAATTAGTAAAATTTTGAGTTAATGACTTATAATTAAATGATTTGATTTACTTCAAAATTTGGTCTCTTAACATTTCTCACAACAAATATGACCAACGGGGCAGGGCCTGGTTAGGTAAGATAAACAAAACATAAAGCAGAAAATAATTTAGAAAAACACAACTATTCTTTACAACAGTTTGACAGGGACCACAACATTAGTGGATAACTTCTGCCTAGGTGAGGACAGACTATGGTCATCCTGAAAGACTCCACACAATTACACAAATTGATCGATGCGACAAAATGTGATGAATAAAGGAATTTCTGCATATGACAGAGAGAAGCGATCAAAAATGAAAGCAAATGAGCGATCACTGTTTTTGGCTCGCACGCTTCAAAATCTCCACTACATCTTTGCGACCGTAATACGAAGCAGCTTCCAGTGGTGTTCTCTGAAAGAGTTTCATTAATGCTTCAATTCCTTGAATTGGGAAAAAAAACAGAAGATAA